TGTGAGCTCTAAGCAAAGCCATAAGAAGTGGTTTCATTTATGTATCAGGGGCAGCTCTTGATTATGTCAACATTAAGATAGGGTGACTTTTTTTCTGCTTTTAGGGTTACAATCAAAGAGATTCTATATTTTTATCATGATAGATCATGATTACAATGTAGTAGTTCTGCATGCTGACCTAAATGTGTAGTGAAACCTGAAATAATAAGTAAGAAAAAGCAATAATTTTCTAAAGCTGTGATATGGGTGATACAGAGTTGATACTCAAATTATAATAAAGCTCTTCATCTTGTGAGTTATAGAACACTACTTTTTATAAAGCCATATTTTTTTAGGGAAACTTGGGATTGACATGGAACTGATGAGTGAGTAAACTAAGTTTTACTGGATTTTTGTATATAATTATCTCTAGAACTCTGGATATTGAGGATTCATTATGCTGTGGTCAACTTCAAATATTTTTAAATTCCAGATATCTGAATTAATGAGCCTTGTCTTTACAAATGTGTGCCATTGGCGACGTCAATGAATTTTCTAAAAATAATGTAAATGTCTTCTGTTAAATGTTATTTGAGTGCAATAAAATACAGAAGAATTCTTCTCTATATTGTCATTATTTTGAAGTATAAAGTATTATTACTTTTGTTAAATCAGCTCATTTTATACTTACTAGCATTTTAGAAGATTATAGCATTTTTTATGACTAAAGTCACAAAGGAATACCTTCTGTCCCTTTTTTAAATTTATATCTAATAGGTAATGCTTATTTAGCATTTACTATTATACTACTTTGCCAGGGGGCAATATTAAAATGAAATAGCCCCTGCATCCATCCTTTGTAGGTTTTTGTTCTGCGCCTACAAGTGGGACTCCTGTCCCCACCTTTTTATCCTCCATGACCTTTGTTGTGAGGGTATTAATTTCTTTTTTTTGTTTGTTTGTTTTTTTTGAGTTGGAGTCTCACTCTGTTGCCCAGACTGGAGTGCAGTCAGCCTCGACCTGCTGGGCTCCGGCAATCCTTCCGCCTCAGCCTTCCAAGTAGCCGGAATTACAGGCATGCGTTACCACACCCGGCTGATTTTTTGATTTATTGTAGAGATGAGGTCTCGCTGCCCAGGCGGGTCTCGAACCCGCGGGGTCAGGCAATCCACTCACCTCAGCCTCCCAAAGGCACGGGATTACAGGCTGAGCCACCGAGCCCGGCTGAGGGTATTAATTTCATCATGAGTGGATGGAAGAGCAGGAAAGTATATGGAAAGTTATCTTTCTTCTTCTCTTCCATTTCCAATCAACATTCTCTGTATAGAAAAAGAACTAGACAAGAAAGACGCTCCTGGGGTTCTAGAAAAGTCTTTTGTCTCCATCATGCCCAGAAGAAATGGTGAAAATAAAGACCATAAGGATAAGCATACCTACTTGTATTGAATCACCTCCTTTTGCTGAGTACTTCGCATGTGTGAGGGAGTTGAGTTTTTTCAGCAAACGGGTGTTACCCCTGCTTGTAGATGAACAAGTGAAGAAGGTCAGAGAAGTAGGAGCGCCTACCAGGCTGTGATTATACACAGGATTTAAGAGCAAACTTTCTGCCAGTAAGTGAAATGTGGAAGCAATTGGAGGGAGGCCAAAGAGTGGGCAGGAGGCCAGTTAGGCCAACTAACTTGTAATAGTTTATGAAAACTAACTAGTAGTAGATGACAGTGATACAATGTGCGCTAAGGAAGGGCTAGTAGACAGTTAGGGAAGGAGATAGGAAAGGTGACTTGAAGATTGGGCATTGTGGGTGTTCACAGAGAAAGCAAAGCCCCAGGTCTGGGTTTGGGGACTGAACAGATGCCCGTGTGATGAGGCCCTCAGAGGAATGAGCAGGCCTGGGTGCAAATTAGCTTTGAACGTGTGTTGAGTCCAGCAAGAACTGCTTACTAGGCAGATTAACACAGTGGCTGGAACATAGTATGGCATAGTATGTCTAAACCCACAAGTGATTTTTTAAATGGCTGCCTGATGATTTTCAAAAGGTCAGTGTCCCCCTTTTTTTAGTAAGATTTTCCTTGTTCTGATAAAACAATATTGAAAGAAGAAAACTAATATTAGGACATATAAAGAAAGTGAAACATCTTTTTGGATGTGTTTAAGCACTAAACATAAGTTACAAGTGAAGTTTTACTTTTGTAATGTTCAGGGGTAGGATAAGCATGTGGCTCCCTTTAATGAACTGCCAATTATTGGGATATACAGAATTCTGTTGAAGTAGTATTTTATGGAGTAGGACTTCTGAAATTGACCTTATTTGTTCTGTAATTCTAGACAAGATTCCTTAGCCTCTCTAAGTTTCCTTATCTAAAATTATATTTCTTATGGTTGATAAGTTTAAATGGGAATAATCCGCGTTAAGTGCTTAGAACAGTGTCTAGAATACAGTAAGTACTCAGTGAGTCTTTGTCTGGCACAGCAAGGCCTGTCTGAGATCTCCCATAGGATAGGCACAGAGAATAAAGAAAGGCAAAGTAGCACTTTGTAATTATTGGTGCAGGATGTTAGGTAAGCTGAATCCCATAGACAATTTCTTTACTAAGCTGAAATTTTTTTTTTGTTTTTTGAGTTGGAGTCTCACTCTGTCACCCAGACTGGAGTGCAGTGGCATGGCCACTGCAGCCTCAATCTGCTGGGCTCAGGCAGTTCTTCCCCTCAGCCTTCCAAGTAGCTGGAACCATAAGCGTGTGCCACCACACCCGGCTCATTTTTGATTTACTGTAGAGATGAGGTCTCACCAAGTTGCCCAGACTGATCTCGAACCCATGGACTCAGGCAATCCTCTCACCTTGGCCTCCCAAAATGCTGGGATTATAGGCATGAGCCACCGCGCCCGGCCTACTAGGCTAAATTTAAGCACTAAAGCCCAAAGAGGCTAAAACATTTCCTCTGTGTATTTTATCCATATCCAAATACAAGCCTCAGAGCTCAGCTTATTGATATGTGAGGACGGAAGCGTCACAAGAATTGAGGATGAGAGAGAGCTTTTGCACTGGGTCCTGGAATGGTCTGCGCCAGACCTTAGGTCAGGCTTGTGGTCCCCCTTAGGTATGCGTGGGAGAGGAAGAAAGATTGTGGCCTTTGTTTTTGAGGGGAGCATGTCTAACCATACTCCTCCCCCAAGGTCCTGGGAGGAAGTGATGAGTTCAAAGGACATGGGGAGACCTGACCAGGGTCTCCCACATTGGGATCAGCACCTTCCATTTCTATTTGGAATGTGACTAATTAAAACCATTCCTCCTTTCTTAATCCCCCGAAGGGTGGGAAGCCCTGTGGAGAGCCCTAAATGCCTCTTTCAGGCCAAATTCTGCAACACTCTACAGAGTCCTACAAGTCTTTAAAAAAAAAAAAAAGAAAAGAAAAAGAAATCCTGCATTCTTCTTGCAGCATTGCTCAGGTGGCATATGCAGTCAACTTTATGAAACCTACTCTTAGCAAAAGTTTGCACTTCTCTGTCCCTTCATGTCTCTTTTAAGATAGGTGCAGAGTGACGCAATGAAAGGAATGTAAGCTTGGGAATAATGTAAACTGCTGGGTTTAGTAGTTTTGGCACTCTAATTTCTTAGCCTCAGTTTCCTCCTGTGCACAAAGAGGGAGGTAAGACCTTCCCCACAGGGTATGAGAAGACAAGATAATTTGTAAGTGATGTGCTAGCACTAAGCCAGACACGCTATATTTCAAAGTTAGTTCCTTTTTCTTCCTCTTATCTAAAGTCTCAAAGGAACAAAAACACTTGACCCATAAAAAGCCCTTCCCTTCATTGAAGCCTGCCTCAGACTTATTTTTTATCCTCCCAAATTAAAATGTTTTATATGATTGAATGTGGGAAACTTGGAAACAACAAAGTGATCTGTGTCTGTGTAGACTTGACTGTATCTCTGATGGCACCTACATCCTTTCACATCCACTATGAGGAAAGAGTAGAGTCTGTGATTTTTTAAATCAATCTCCTAAACTCTGCCTCATCCTCACTCTAATACATGTGCATATACTAGTTTTCCTAGAAACACAAGAAGACCAGATAAGTGCCAACTGGGGGTATAATGAACTGGTCTACCTTGAAAATTAACTAGATCCTAATATATAGCAAATAAGCCTGATCTGAATTTACAGGTGCAGACCTGAGATTATAAACACACAGCCAGTTCATATGCTGTTGTTTTCCCTGTGAGAGGTAGATGTTCTTGAACTGGTCTAGGCTCTTGGTGGGTGTTACTGTACTCAATAACCCCATCCGTGGGAGAGACTGACTTGATTAACTGAGTTTGAGGCTGACACTGGGGGCTCTTAGATTCATCTCGGGCTTCTCAGCAAGTGAGCTATGATGCACTACTGGGTTTCATTGCAGGGTCCCCCAGTGGGTCGCCTGTGTATGTGTGACTTGAAGTCCTTAGAGTAGTAAGACTAATATTCCAAGTAGTGTGACATGCTGCATTCCTTTAAAGCATGTGGTGTCAATTACAAAGTAGTCTTATGGTTTTAGGAGACAATAAAAATGTTGAACAAGCTTTGATGATGGCTTCTCCCCACCCAATTTGCTTTTGTACCCCATAGAGGCACTAAGAGTTGGTGGACATCACCCATTCCAACTTTTTTTTTTAGATTAGAAAATATAGTTTATTTACAAACTAAATTAGGAAGAGAGAAAGAAAGAAGAGATTCACCTCCCCCAGGTAGGGGAGGGGACCAAAGTTTAGGAAAGCATGACCCCAACTTTTTTACAGACTAATGTCACTTAGCCCAGTGCTCGATACCCACTGAGTCACTGCTTGGTGACTTATAAGTAATTTAAATGAGCCTTAATCTTGATGTTTTGTAATGAACTTCATATGTAAAGAATTCAGGCTTAGTATGCCCAGATATATCTTTCTTAAATTATAATTATTTGAATTCATTTAAATATTATGCTATATTTTGAGACTGAAAGATGAATTGCACAGTGCTTATTATGTTTTGTCTTTGATTTTCAGAAACAAATAGAAAAACAGATGATACAGAACAAAAAGCAAAAGGTGAGATTGTCAAATGAATAGCCTTTAAAATATGTGTGGAAAAAAGTTGTCATGCCATTCAAGAATAACATGATTTTATTTTATATCACTAATTAAAATAAATTGTCACTGGGTTTATTATTTCAGTGATTTTTGTCAACAAACATTTATTAACATTTTATATTAACTTTAAGAGCTAAAGCTCAGAGAGTGATTGCCTGGCTTCTAATCCTAGTTTTGTCATTCACTATATATGTATCCTTGGGAGACACTTAACCTTTGTGCCTCAGTTTCCTCTTCTGTAACACAGGATTAATAAGAGTACCAACTTCAGAAGGCTGTTTTCACGATAGTAATTAAATGAAAATATATATAAAATGCTTAAAGTAGTGCCTAACACAGGGAAAGCACTTAGGATATGTTAAATGTCACTTGTTGATATATTGACAACTGTACTAGGTATAGGAACCCAAAGATTGCTAGAATATATCTTTTTTCAAGGAACTCTGAGTCTTTGGGGAAAAAAGCACACAAACAATGATAGCCATATAGAAAGAATTATTAATGCCTTCCAAAAGTTTATTACAAAGGCATTCTCATAAATGTAATAACCCATGGTGTTTTAGTTCAACTCTCATAGAGGTTCCTAAACTGACTCAGAGTGAGGAACAGTCTTTAGTGTTAATAAATTACCTGTATGATCATAGAATAATGGTTATGTTTTCAGTATTCGTTGAATGTTATTATCTTTAATAAGTAAACATTATTACAATTTCAGGAATTCCTTTAATTTGATTTGGAAGCTGTTTGTACATATGTATCTACTTCTGCATATGATACACAAAACCTTAGCATATAAGTTACAGTTGGTGGGCATGTGGAGTTACTGGCCTCTGGTTGTCATTTCACAGGCCACATGTTGAGAATGAGTCATCTAACTTATGCAATTCTTTTTCCCTAACTAGTTGTTTTTAACTTTTATCAAAGTAGTACAAGGGGATAGTTTAAAAAGCTAAGGCTTGTCATGAATAACCCCAGTCCTCTACCCCATTGCTTTCTATCACTGAGTCCCTCACCAACTTTCTTTTAGCTGTTTCTTTCTAATACTTATGTACGAGGGGGAACCCCCAAAATCTGGAGTTTATTTATTAAAAATTGTGTTTTTCTTCTTACATGCTTAAACTTCAGTCACCTTCAGAGTACTCTCTGTTTGATACAATACACCTAATTAAGACACTTTCCCTACCACTCAGAAGTTGAACTTGTTAATTTTGATGCCTTTTAGTGCTTCTGCTATTTTTTGTTTCACCTCTCCCATATCTGTAAGATGTTTGAGGACATTTTTAATCTGGGGAAACAACCAAAAAAAAGGTGCTTGGGATAAGATCAGGTGAATACGGAGGGTTGGACATGGGGGGCATGTCATTTTCAGTCAAAAACTGCTGACCACTCAGTGTGGTGTGGACAGGTGCACTTGTTAATCACCCATCGTGAAATGGGCAGACGCGTTGAAAGAAGCTCCAAAAAAATTTCACTAAAGCCTCTCACAACAACTCTAGTACACCGATGCCAATGGGTTCCTAGAACATTTACCTAGTGGTGGAAGCCTGTACTACAAAGGACTTGTCTTCCAAAAGATAATTCTGGTTTTGGGAGGGAGTCCCCTCTCATATTGCTAAATAACTTGTTAATTCTTCAGTTTTCTCCTCAATACCAGAAACTTTGGTTGACTTTGATCTATAAATGACTGAGGTTAGCTCGATTGTCATGTTCTCACAAGCTTTTCCTAGCCTAACTTCTCGAATCTTCCAATATATTTGGGATGTAACTGTAATAGATAGTGATAAATTCCAAGGAGAAAACAAAAGCAGAAAGGAGCATATCAGCAACTGTTGATCCCTTTCATTCTCTTCACTTAGTTTGTTAGATGACACATTTTCTTGTTTTTTTTTTCCCCCCTACTCTACTGTTTGCTTCTTCTCAGCCTCTTTGGATGGTTGCTTCTCATCCCCCTGACCAAGAACTCAGTCCTGAGACCATTACTTAAGCCCCTAGCCTCAAGCGATCCTCCCACCTAGGCCTCCCAAAGTGCTGGGATTACAGGCAGTGAACCATCATGCCTGGCCTCTGGAGTGTTTTCTCTGTCTACATGCACTCCCTGATGATCTCACCTAACCTCATGGCTTTAAATACCTGGCATGCCAAAGATCACCAAATTTGCCCACAGCGTGGGTCTCTTGCCTGAACTCTAGATTGATGAGTCCAGCTGTCTACATAGTTCTTACATGATAACCTCAATTGGAGGTCTCATAATCACTTCAAGTTTAACAGGTCTAAAACTGAACTCCTGGTTGTTCTCCCCGAAAACTCATTTTTCCTGCAAACCTTCTTGTTCATGCCTCACTATTATTCTGTCAGCAAATCCTGTCCCCCCTCTCTTTAGAATACACTGAGAATCCAACTACTGCCTACCATCTTTACCCACTACCACGAAATCCAAGCCACCACCATCTCTTTCCTGGATTATTTCAGTAGTCTCCTAACTGGTCTTGTGTTTCTGTAATCTTTTTTGATATAATAGCCCCACAGATCCTTTTAAAACCTAAGTCATGGCCAGGCACGATGGCTCAGCCTATAATCACCACACTTTGGGAGGCCGAGGTGGGAGGATTGCTTATGGCCAGGAGTTCAAGACCAGCCTGGGCAACATAGTAAGACCCAGTCTCAAGAAAAAAAAAAAAAAACTGGGCATGGTAGCCCACACCTGTAGCCACAGTGTCTTGGGAGGCTAAGGTGGGGAGGGATCACTTGAGCCCAGGAGGTTGAGACTGCAATGAGCCATAGTTGTGCCACTGCATACCATCCTGGGTGACAGAGTGAGATCCTGTCTCCAAAACAAAACAAAACAAAACAAAAATAAAAAAAAATAAAAAAAAACAACCTAAGTCATATTATGTTGTTCAGCTCCCTCCAACATCTTCTTATCTTCCCCAGAGTAAAAACAAGATTCTTTGCAATTGTTTACAAGGCCTTACACGATCTGTTCTCCTTTCCTCCTGCTGGCTTCCTCTCCAGTGTCATATCCCATGACTCTTTCTCTCCTTGGCTCCTTGTATTCCAGCTACACTGGCTTCCATGCCGGGACTCAGGGCCTCTGCACATTCTGCTCCCTCCGGGATGAATGCTCTTCCTCAAGATATTCACATGACTTTCTCCTCTAGTTTCTGTTCAACTGCTGCCCTCTCTGTGAGCCTCCCTGATCTTACTTAAAAGATCCTTGCTTTCTTTTCTTCATTGTACTATCACCATGTGATCTATTTGATAGTTTAACTCTTTAGTGTTTATCATCTGAATCTCCCACTGACGTGAAGGTTATGCACATTTTTGTTTTTTGTTGTCAGTGCTACATCTTCTGACTTAGAACTATACTTGGCAAACAGTAGGCACCCAATAAATATTTGTTGAATATATTTCTATTCTTTTTAATTAATAAAAATGAATGTCAAAAGACATCAAAGACTCCATAAAACCCACACTGTAGAAGTGAGAACCAGAACCCAGGTGGAACACCTAAGATGGAAATATATGGGGTAAGGAAGCTCTGCCTTATCATCCCTAAAGATTACATGTTCTATGTTCTCCTGTGACTCAGTGTGTCTAAGCTCAGCAGACCCATGGAATCATCATGTCCATGCTGTTTGGAGCATAGGACTAACAAGGAAAAGAAAATCTTTATTTAAAAACACTGTAACTTTCCATTTCTGCATCCAGAAATGAGGATAATGATTCTTATGCCTCACAGAGTATATTTGTAAATAATGAATACAATCTGCTACTATTATTGTTATTCAAATCTCAGTCTATTACTATTATTACCAGATATCTGGACTTTGGGTTGCTTTGATTAGCAATTAAATTAGTTGATTTGGGGATATACCATAGATATGCTAATTCATTTTTTAAAAAAATTTTGCTAAAGCACGATTTAAAAAAAAAAATCCATATCTACTATCATCATCAATTACAAAAGCAAAAACAAAGTTATTTTTAGCTCCAAAAAGTAAGGCACACATAGTTTAAGAATAAAGGACAGTTTTTTAAAAATTGGATAAATTTAGCATTATGAAAAAAATTACAAATGTGATCCGTATCACTCATTTTTCCTTGAACCAATGGATATCTCATCACATGCCTCCAAGGCAAAGAGACCACTGCGGAAGTAGGCAGGGGCTGCGCTCCACCACTGCGTCTGCTCAAGTCTTACCCCTCACGATCCCAGATTCTAGGCGTAACAGAGAAGGAAGAAAAAATAAACCTTCTTTGTCCTTTACTTGTGTTTTTCTGTCCTACACTGGTTAGTGAAATGGACACTTTTAAGGAAAACCCTAGTTTTCTGAGCAGTCTCCTATCTTTACGCTTCTCCTGCATGTCTTCAAGAGTTGTTATATTTCAAATTCAGACCAACCCTAATTCAGACCAACCCTACAAATCACCACATTCTCATTACAATTAAATTCAGTGACATATAATTGTAAGAATTCCAATTTTAATGTCTTAAAAAGACAGGAGTTTATTTCTTACCCACATAGGGAGCCTAGGGCTAGTTTAATGGCTCACGGGGGACCCCACGCCTCTTTGGCCATCCTGCCATCTTTAGTTCATAACCTCATGTTCTAAAAGGGCTGTTCAAGCGCCAACCATTATAGCCACATCCAGACAAGAAGAAGGAGGATTGGAAAAGGAGCAGCCTTCTTGGAAGAACTATGTTTAACTGACAATTTTGCTAAAGTTAAAATTCAGGCCTCTAGTTCTAAGGAAGAAGGAAATATTGAGCAATGGGAGGAAGCGGTAATTAGCAGTTTGGGCATACAGTGTTTTACTCCTTTTGTTACCAAAATATACTCGACCACATATTAGGAACATGGCTACTGTTTGATGCCAAGAGGCTCAATAGGTCATCAATATATATTTTGAAAACCAATCAGCTCTCCATTATTGACACACACAAAAATATCGATTTC